AATCGCTATGGCCAATTAACCTTTTAACCCCTAAGAGTGACTGACATCTAAATTCTCCTGACAATATCACCCCTGAATCAAACATTCAGGTTATTAGAATAGAGGAAATAGTCACCAACTAGAGAAGCTCTGGATTATAAAAACAAATTCTCCTCATCAGCACCTTAGGGAATGTATAGGGAACAGTATGGAGAATATGCAAACTGATGTTAGGGTGGAAAGGGTTAAGACCATAGGAAATATATCAAAGCACGATAAACTCAACGATAAATCAGGCCTTCTTGTTGATAGCGCGCGAAACGCCAGTGGCCAGGTCGCGTTTGGTAATACTTGCAGCTGATTGGTTGCAGGGAATCGGTGATAAGAGTGAAATGAAATGTTGCTGGATGTGCTATATGTCTAACTCTTAAAGACACCAAAACGACCCAGCTAAGGTCACTTCTCGACTGAGTACCGCAATCTCAACAACATAGGAAGCCAATGAAAATTCAAATTAAAAACAAGAAAACTGTGTCAAGCGCAGGAAAACGCGGTTGCCCAAGACGTGATTGAGTTTCTGTCAACATCCGATTGGTGGAGAGGGTGGTGTGAGTTTTCTGAACCAATTACAAAGCGGAGTGACGCAATACCAATGCACCTCTGGATTTCTCAGTTTTGCCCGTGTTTAATACTTGCAGTGTAAAAGTTGCCACACAAGAACAACTTAAATTCCGTGTTTGAATTACTTTCTTCGTTTAGAGAGAAATTTTAAGGAGGCTAAACGGCTGAAAGAAGAAAGTGAAACTTTGACGCAACAGGGGGTTGAAAGCCAAGAAAAACTCGAATCTTTGTTGAAGGAACTTGCAGAAGATGGAAAGTTGTTAGAAGAAGCGCAAAAACAGAACGCGGACCTGGAAGTAGAGATCAATGAAAAAGAGCGTCTTAATGGTACAATTTTTGTTGTCTCTCGTTTTCTCTTCGTTTAACTCTTTCGAGCTTTGTTCAATTATCAGCCAATTAGGTGGGAGGGATTTTTCTCTCTTGTTTCTTATCCTCAACCAAACATTGAACCCACATTCGTCATTTAGTGTTGATTGGATTAGAGGGGATTGGATTCTAGTGTAACGAGGCGTGGAAGGGGAGGGGAGGGTGTCTTTTCAGTCACTTTTTCCTCCTTCCATTCTTCCAACCTTCTCCCGCCCAAAAACTCGGCTCGTTGTGGATCTCCAATGATATCCGTTCTCCTCAATCTATAAGATTCTAGCCGATACAAGGAAACAAAAAACTAATTTGTGACTCCTTTTGACGGTTAGCCTAAAAATGACTCTGGCTTACAAAAAACGTCTTTTATATACTATTGATCTAAACCTTTTTTGTTTGGTTTTTTGTTTGTTTGTTTGTTTTTAGCTGTGGTTATTGTACAGGAAGCATCCGATATGATTCAAGTCCTTCAGGAACAAATTAAGAGGTAAACGCGTAGTTGAACTCAATGTTAAATGTCTCCAGTGATAATTTCATTTTGATAAAGCTATTGATTTGACATCTTGGAAACGTCACTTCGTTACAGAGTCGGTGATGACAGTCTGATCAAGGCTTTGCTAGAGACCGAAGCTAAAACATGCGAAGTAAGTCTGCATAATGCACAGTTAAAATATAGTATTAAGCGACTAGCAATTTTGCTTATTCTTCTTTAAAAGGCTGGCAGAAACTTAGTCATCAAAGACTAGTAGCCACCTCTGTTTTGATGCACAAAACTTTATATGGCTTGACCCCTAAATATTTGCAATCTCTATTTGTATCTCGAAATGATATGACTTCGTACAGACTGAGGAATTCTGAGTATAAATTGGCTCTTCCACAACCCCGCATCAACTACTTTACAGGAAGTTTTTCCTAAAGAGGTGCTATGTTGTGGAATAGCCTTTCTCATGAACTCCAATCAACAGTTTCTTTAAGCGAATTTAGACAAAAACTGCGTCATTATGGCTTTGAATGAGATACAATACTTATGTGATATGATAGGTTTTTATTCTTTAAATACTGTATTAGTTTATTAGTTAGCTTAGCTGGGCAGAATTAGACATTTTATTCTCTTAGAACGTGCTGAAAGATTTTACCGTGTATAAATAAAGTTATCTGTTTATTTGTCCACCCCATGGCAGGTTACCTCCCCCCCCCCGCCCTATTCTTTCTAATCTATAGCAGGTTACCTCCCCGCTTTTCCCCCCCGTGTCACCACCTCCCCCATCCAAGCCACTGTGTCCGATACAGTGTACACTAAAGACAACTCGGAGTGGAGTCCAGGCCGCCGCGATTTATATTAATATGCACCAACAACGATGCCGACTAAGACTGCACGATGTAACCATAAAAACGAAGAGTCGAGACTTGCATGAGCAGCCAGTTTTCATTTGCGATCAAAACTGGAGGCTTGACCATAACCGTTGTCTTTTTTAGAATCTCATATCAGACTTGTGTGAAAAGCATGGCATTTCAATACCAGATGTGAATGACTCTGAGGACAAAGATCGACGGGAGGACACAACAGTGAAGGTACACTGTGCGGTATTTGACCCTCAGAGGGGCTTACTTTAGAAACACGCGGTCAATGTCCCAAATTATCACTCGATGGTAGCTGTATCCACGCTCTTCGTAGAAGAATGGCAATAAAAATATACAAACTGCTAAAAGCGCGAGAAAACGCGGGCGACGAATTCGTGATTGGTTTTAGTTCTGCATCTGATTGGTTGCGAGCGTCGTGCGAGTCTTTTGGACCAATCACAGAGCGAAGTAAAGCAAAACGAAAGCAATCTCTATTCACTTTCGACCGACTCAATCGCAAATTGCTCTATAACAACAACTGAACTCTTTCAATACAAAATATTGCGATTAATTTTTTTTGTCTCACATATCACGATATTGCACGAAACTTCGTTCAATGGTTGCTAGTTGTTATGAAAAGCTGTCCTGAAACTTGACAAGGACTTCACTTCTACGTTTAAAGGGGTCTGTTTCTGAGCCTACCAAGCCCTCAGAAAGAGAACACATCCAACGGCAAGATTACAACGATCTAGTGGACAAATTGAGTGAATTGGAGGGAAGACTGGAGGCTGTGATAGAAATTGAAGATTTTGACGAGGCTGATATCCTTTTATGACCGAAATAATTTTACTTATTCAATAAATTAATAGCTATGCCACGTACTCATCAGAACTTGAGGCTTAAATTTTGCAGCCAGCTACAAGTGCAGGAAATATATGCCGCACGCGGTAAAACTCGACAGCTACTTTTATGATGGCTAAGTATAAAATGTCGTGAAGCGTAGCTCTCACCAACCAGAGCAGAGTCTACAAGCTGGCTGTTAATGGTGGGGTACTTTTTTCTAAAAGTTTTGAATTGTTTGTGCTGAACATTTATTAGATCCTTGTCATTCTTAAAGGCTCATTTATGTGACAAACTAACTTTCTCCAAAGTGTTGACGAATTTGACAGTTTGTTATTCAGTCCCAGTTCCCGACATGTTTCTGAGGTAATTAGACCGAGCGTAAGGGTGACTGGGACATACTTCTTGTCTCTGCGGTCTAGAAAGACAACTGCAAGAACACCAGAAAAAGAACTTGGCATTACTTAGCCAGGCATTAAATAGTTCCAGTCTAAATGCATTATGATATGAAATTTTCACAGAGAGAGGCGACTATGTCTTTTTCACACCTACCAATCTTGAAAGTAGACTTTTGTACGTTTCCTTAACATTTTACCAGACAGACTCCAGCAGGAAATAACAAAAATTAAAGACAAAATGGCGCGGGAAAATCCATAATCTAGAGAACGATGCGTAGGAAAAGCGCATCCCAACATCAGCATGATGGAATCCAGGCGAAATTGAACTTAGAAAAGAAATGAACTCTTAGCTTCTATGGTCTGTGCGACGACGCACAATGAAGCAGCGGTTTCCTATGCAACGAGAAGGTTGCACATGCTTTGTGTTACCGTCTTTTTATAAGAACAGGGTAATTTTGAACTCTTTACGGTGGCCACCTTACGTTATCAACTCAGTTGATAATACTTAATTACCCTGTTATACTCTCCCACCGACGCAGCACCACAGTTTCTTTAGAAACTTATCCCCTTTATTTTTTATAAGAACAGCCATGATGGCAGATTAAAAAACTGTTTTTTTGGAAAATTGTTTTGGGGATAGTTACTCCTCGGTAATGTATTCTGTGAAACGTTATAAATAGTTTCGTGACGAAATTTTGTGGTAATGGCTTCCTGATGCTCAGAGTTCATGATCCTTTATTTTTCCAGCGGGAGGTCCGTGTAAATATTTATGTAGCCCAGATCACCTGTTCATTATAGGGATCAAGAGTTGAAGCTATCATATTGAATAGGAGAGATCGCGGAAAGCCTGGAGCGAACAAACCAATATCACCCCACTCTCCCACTCACGCCTTTTTACTATCTCCAGGCTTCCCTCGATCTTACTAATAGAATATGGCGGCTTCGACGCCCGATCAGAATATGGAGCTCTTGCTTGTCAGCAAGAAAATAAGACTCCTATGCCGCCTTGCTAAAACTGTACGCGTTGCATTTAGTGTCGCTTCAAGGAATTTATCGTACGGTTCATTACTGGTAAATTTCCCGAACAGAAGCAAGTATTGATTCCTTCCTCCAGAAAAACCCCTGTATGCTCGTTATCTATTTCCAAAAATCCCAAATGACGCGGCCTCTCATGCTTATCTTTCGGTGCCTGTCTTTTCTCCCTTTGTGGGTGTGTGTGTGTGTGTGTCATGGACATGGTTCATTGTATGCAAAGAAACACAATTCTACTTTCATGAATAAATTACTCTAAATTTATTTTTCATCATAAATTACGCAAATTATTCTTGAGACTACGATATATACTGGCCCTTGAAGACAAACAAATCAGAATGTTTTTCTTCGCTGTGATTGGTTTAACATTGTCATGACACGCTTTAGATTCCAAAAATAGCTAAAAGAGAGAGTCACAGGGCCTGATTGTTTCAAGTTGATTTCTTAGAAATCGTCTACCTTTGCTCGCTCGCTTTTGCCGGACGGATAACATGGACATTAAAACGTTGTTCCATAATCTTCGAGAAGAAGTGTCTTGTCCAGTGTGCACTAACATATACATGGATCCAAAACAACTCCCATGTCTCCACAGCTTTTGTCTGCATTGCTTGAATCAATGGCACAGAACTAGCCATGGCCGAGACACAATCAGATGCCCGAAGTGCCAAGCTCTTAGCAGAGTGCCTGAAAGTGGCGATTTGAAAGATCTTCCCACCAGTTTTTATCTGAACGGCTTGATTGATGTGCTGGCAATTAGAGAATGTAAAACCAGCCAAGTGAAATGTGGAAATTGCGACAAGAGCAGCTCGGAAAGTTCCTATTGTTTCCATTGCTGTGCATTTTATTGCCAAGACTGCGTAATTGGGCACAACATCATGAAAACCTACAAAGATCACCGTGTCCTGGCGCTTAAAGAATTTCAAGACAAGGACTATGAGGATGTAATGAAACGACCTGACTTTTGTTCTAAGGAAGATCACAGCAAAGAAGAGCTGAAGTACTTTTGCAAGACTTGCGAAATGCCAGTTTGCCAAATTTGTGTCACATTGGACCACGGAGGCCATAATATGAAATTAATCAAGGAAGAGGCAGAAATACAGAAGAGTGAGATAAAGTCGTTGGTTGAAAAGCAGAGACGCATTTTGCAAGCAAAGATGAAAACCGTCAATCAACTTGATGAAGAGTTCGCCAGACTAATGCAACAAGGCGAAGACGTAAATAGAGATGTTCAAAGACTTGTTGACAATCTCGTGGCCGTTATTGAGGCGAAAAAACAAAATATACTATCATCGTTAGAGAAAGAAACGAGCAGATCGCTTGATCTTGTAACGGAGCGAAAAACCGAAATTCAACGACAAATAAGGGCCATAGAATCTGATGAATGATCATAGGGTTTATCTGTAGACAGTGACAGTAATGTGATCGTTGCTGATAAAGGAAACAGCTTAATCAAAATCTTTTCTCCCAATGGAAAGTTCCTCATGAAAATAGGTGAGCGGGGCTATTTGAAATCTCCTATGCACTGTATTCAGTATGATAGATATCTCATAGTGTCAGACAACGGTGAACATTGTATCAAAGTATTTGACAGGAATGGAAACCCTCAGTACAAGTTCGGAAAGAAAGGTAGTGGGGACGGGGAGCTTCACAGTCCTTCTGGTATGGCAGTGAACAAATCAGGACACCTGATGGTCTGTGATGACTTTAATCATAGAGTACAAGTATTTGAACTGAATGGTAAGTTTATTGGCAAGTTTGGAAGAGAGGGGAGCAATTTAGGAGAGTTAAAAAATCCTGCGTCCCTTGCAATTTTGAGTAACGGCCGAATTGCTGTTAGTGAATGGAATAACCATCGTATTCAGTTATTTGAATAAGAGAAACATCAATATCGGGTAAGGTGCAATAAGGTCAAAAGTCAGACATGCGCAAGTGGAATGATTTTTGCCAGCTGCGCGCTAATTCCCCATTAGAGTAAAACAAAAGAAATAATCGGTTTCATGTGAAACTTGAGTAAAGAAAGGTAGACTTAGGAAATCTGTTCAAGGAAACAAAAAAAGGGAAAACTCGTTTTTTTTTCTTACTCAAAGAGCACTAAAGGCTTTAAAACACGGTGCCTTTTTTGCATGTACAAAAGGAACAGAAAAATCGTATTACGCTGTGTTCCTAACTTAGTGACTCTACAATTACAACTGGACTTGATCCTGCTGACTTACCAAAACCCTCTCCGCTCTCTGCTGCCACAGTGGTCAGCAAGCGAACCTATTCGGTCTTTTGGTGCGAGCCTTTTCAATTTTTACACGGTCTTCGTTTCGCGAATAGGATACCAATAGATATAGAATGAGACAAACGGTCAATCTGCAAATTCAAGTCGCCTGAAAGCGAGATGTTGGGCCGCAGTTTTATCCACTTCTTTGCCGTTTCAACGTTCACACAACATAAACGCAAGTTGGCCGGTTTAGATAGCAGACTTCTTCTTATTCCATAGCTAACCCTTGCCAATCCTCTTCATAGCGCAGGCGGCCAACGCAAGCGTCGTGCCTTTTACCCCACCAATTCCCTCGCTGCGCGCTTTTTGAAGAAGACTGGGTATAAGTTAAATTATCTCTCGAAGTAGAAATGTCATTTATGTTTAGATATCAACTATGACGTTAATTCTGTCAGAGATGACACTTGATAAATTTCATGCTCACTGACCACGGGTGTGAGGTGGGGGGGGGGGGGGGGGTAATAAGAGGGTCCAAGCTTTGATTTGAATAAAACAAATTTTTTTTAGCACTTGAGCCTAAATAAACTAAGAAGTATTTCAAGATTAATATTTTTTAGACATTCAAGCCGAATAGTTCTATCCTGTTGTTGGAATAATTTTGGCTTCAGACTAGAAGTGAAAATACCCGTAGGTCTAATGAAGTAGGGGGGTGGGGGTCCAGACCCCTTGGGCCCTCCCCCCGTGTTTGCCACTGCTTTCTTATGATCAGGGTAAGAGAAACAAAGTTTCAAAAGTTGGCTTGTGATGATGAAGTACAGTCTCCTGGGGGTTGCGTCGAATTTATTCCAAAAATATTTTGCATTTAATTAAACGAAGAGCATCAGAGAGCTAGCCTTGCTGCAGATAAGGAAACCTTAAGTTTTACGTTCAGTACTTATAATTTTCCGAGATTATTTTTTAAATTTTTGTAGCAAAACTGGTGGTTAATAATAGTTATTTAGGACCACACGTATTTACATTCTGTATGTAAACAAGAGAAAAAAAACTGTCATTATTTTCTCTTGATGTAAATCATTACAATTTGATAAGTTGATACTTCAGAAGGAAGCTACTGATATCAAGCGACACAGAACTTACGCATAAGTGTTATCTTTGTTTGACGCTAATGGGCTGTTGTGAAAATCTTGGTAATTAATTTGATATATGTTTGTTATAGGTGCTTCAGCACAAACTTGTAATCAAGCTCATCTGTACATAATAAGACTAGTATAATAACTATATATGGTATCTTTTTCAATACTAAATTCACTGTACATGAAAGTAACCATAGATTGGTGCATTCTAGTGGATATAGTCAAAAGTAACACAAAATTGTGTTGGTTTTGCTTTTCTTTGCACTTTGATTTGTCCAGGAAACTCGTGCCACTCAACCAATCAGGTACTAAACTAAAACCAATTACGACTTGGTCGCCCGCGTTTTCCCGCACCTCAGGTGGCTTGGTTGTTTTTACTTTGAGTTCTCATTGGCTCTCAAAGGTATTTTCCTACCTCCCGATTGGCTGTTTTAATTACTTTGGTTTTGGTTTCACGACACTCAATTGAAAAGTGCTTAGGTAGTTGAGTTGGGAGACTCACTTCTGAAAATGGTGTTATACTTTCAAAGTATTAATACTATTATATTGTACTTTCATACTATTGATTTTGATGAAAATACCGCTGAGGCTGTTTGAGGTTATTGTAGCTTTTTTAGAAGTCTCTGACAATTTTTCCATAACCAATAACTACTGGCCCCACCCCACCCTCACTACACAATGAGGGTTGCACAGGGCAACCTTAATTCACAATATGCAGGTGAACCAGAAATATTTCAGTGAGGTATTGCTTTAACCTGGAAAAAAAAGGGAGAAATTGATTACTTTATATTTGAGTGTCAATTGTTCTTAATTAAAAAAGAAAGACCTGTGGAACAGATTTCGATTGCAATGGACAACAGCAATGGTGATGAGAGCAGCTTTTTACTGCTGACCAGTTCGATCATTGCCTGCATGACCTTCTTGTGTGGAGAGGGGAGGGGTAGGGACCAGTCTTAAGTTTGTAGACCAACAGTGCTCTTGAAAGGATCTCTGGCTGCCTGAATGGTTTGTTCTCAAACATTGGTGGTAGTCTGCTCTTTAAATGTTGGCGGCCTGTGGCACCTAAACTCTTCCAGAGCACAGCCTTGATTGTACAGTTCTGAGTATGAAGTGTATTCCCACACTTCTTTTTTTTAATTATGGTATCTTTCAGCTTTTGAATAAAGTAGTTAAAATGATCAAATGTATAACGATATTGCTTGATGTTAGCCTAGATCGATCAGTGCGGAAAAGTCCTATGGTTTCGTTTTTCTTTCTCTCTCTCTCCCAGTCTTCTCCTCCCCTCAAGCCCTAAACTGATTGCAGATTTTGCCCAATAGACATGCGCGAGGAATGGGGAGGGCTGCCTTTGAAAATGACAGCTGTAGTCTTAAGGTTTAAATTTATTTAAACAATTAAAAAAAACCCAAGGTTTTCTGATCTAAAATCAACATGTATAGTGAGTCTGTTTTGAGGCTACTGTGCTTTCGTTAGATTAAGTGTCTGTCTTTAGTGACTCCAAAAGAGTATATGGGATGTACCCTCTAAACCTGGGCAGCTGCATTCATACTTAGCGACCCTATTAAAAGAACCAAACCAAAACAAAAAGCTCGTAAAATCTGAATATTTGCGCACATGTTCACAAAGAGTTTGCTTTCGCTAGTGTGTACCGTTGTCTGAATAGTCTCTGTGTTCATCTCTTTCGGGTGCATTATTTGCATCGATAACTTAAATGCTAGTTCGGTGAATCAAACCGTTACAAATGTTAAGTTTGTAAATTTGAGAATTAAGGTTCAGTTTTTTTTTTAAGATATATATTTTTTTTTATCGTGAAATACGGTGTGGCTTGAGAAATATAATCATTTGTTTCACGTAAATGACGTAAATGAACATCAGTGACACTTCTTTTTTTTGTTCTTCATACATCTGTGTGTCGAATAATCATGAAATCAATATGTTTAGTTTTCTGATATTTCCATCGTTAAGTTTCAAAATTGTTCTGTAATATTTTGATCGTGAATGTTAACACGGCGGAAAAGAAACAACTTTCCAAGACCAGTTTCCTTCGCAGCGCTAGCTGTCCCTGAGTATGTCAAGCAACACTCCTTCCCCACCCCTCCCCCGCCCCACCTGCTTTACACCCTAACATCGGTGTGGAAATTCTCCATACTCTTCTTTACACAATTCCTATGGTGGAGACAAGAAGAATTCTTTCAATAATCAGAGCGTCGTAGGTTGGATATCATTTCCTTTCTTCTCATGATCCTAATAAATGATTCAACAGTATAACTGTAATGAGAAATTAGATGCTGGTCACTCTTTGGAATTGCTGTGGGTACAATGGAAAGTTAGAAGTGGGTTTTACATTTAACTAAACGAAAATTTGAAAATGTCAATCTATCATCGTGACAGTTTGTACTGTTGTATATTAACTATCAAAAGCAGAGAATTCTTTCCTTTTCTTTCCAAGAGAGTCTTGTTTCCTGCTCGAGTATTAAAATCCTGACGTGACAATTTCGGATGTTCAAAAACGCACATTGTAAAATGATGATTGGAAACGTCGCGATAAGGAAACCATTTTGGCAAATACGTTCTTGAAGCGAATGAACAGTTTACTAGCATGTAGCATTGGCGCGATGGCTTTAAACATGTTCACATGACCATGGCGTGTTGAGGGTCCGTTGTGTTACCTTCTCGACGAACTTCTCAAGCCAAGGTTCAGCCCGTGACAATGATTTATCACCTGCAAGTTCATGCCATTGATGCAGAGTGGGTGTCCTGTGCAACTGGGCTTAATCAGTTATGATGTACCTCGCGTTGGAGTTCACTACAGTGACACCTGCGTCACCTTAGGTCCAAAAATACGCCTTCTATGTCGTCTTGTTAAAACTGTACGCGTTGTGTCTAGTGTCGCTTCAAGGAATTTATCGTAGGGTTCATTATTGGTAAATTTCCCGAAGAAAAGCAAGTATGATTGCTTCCTCCGAAAAAAAAAACCCTTTATACTTCTTATCTATTTCCGAAAAAATCCCAAATGACGCGGACTCTCATGCTTATCTTTCGGTGCCTGTCTTTGCTCCCTTTGTGTGTGTGTATGTCATGGACAGGGTTCATTGTAAGCAAAGAAACACATCTAATATCATGAATAAATTACTATAAACTATTTTTCGGCGTAAAGTACCCAAATTATTCTTGAGATTATAAATAGAAGCTGGCCTGTGAATCGCCACCCCCATCCCCCACCCCCCACCCCCAAACGAATAGAAAAAGAAATAGATATCATGATTTGATAATGCTTAAGGCGGGGGTAAACCTGAAATTTGCTCAAAAACTGAGTTTTTTGTTTTCCTCGGAATTTGCAGCTTTGGGTATTCAACTTCGCTGTGGAAAAATAATTTTCTACTTATTTTCACTATTTTTGCCTTTTTGAGCGATTTCAAAATTCCCGCTCTGGTTAATGGTGTGGTTACCATGGCAACGAGAAGAGCATTTTTTGATTTTTCAGTTGTTTATGATGTGTTATTCTGGCAACCAAGCTCCCAAACGGGCAGGATTTAACGAGAGATACTTTATGTAGTCTTATCTGAAGGGTTTTCTAGGGTCAAACTCATTATGGGATAGATTTAGAGGCAGTTTTTGTCGAATGTGACACTCGGTGTACTCGGAGCAATCAAAGGAAAAGTTCTAATCAAAGGAAAAGTTATATCGAAAATGGTCGGAAAGAAAAGTAGATCTGTCTACCGGAAGAAAAGAAAGAGAAGTTTTTCTGGAAGGCGAAAACAAAACAAGAGTCTGAAGAAACAGCTCCCGATGTTGACGAAATCGCCGCCTCAACTCCGAGCACTTCGCTGGATGAAAATCAGCTCTCTGACTCGGACTCTAAAGAAACCGTTGGTTCCTCCAGAAAGAAAATGAAATATGCCGCTTCTTTTAGACAGCTCTGATGAAGAGTATACCTTCAATACCGAGGAAAGCGAGGGATTTAGATTAATAAATGAGAAAAATTTATCCACGGCCGTCTCAAAGGCACACGTGTGTGAGAAAGGTGAGAAATTTTTTTAAATCTCTGTCTTTCTCTGTTCTCGATTATGACTTATTTCCCATATCATATCGACCCATAGTTCCAGTTTTTCCCTGCTAAATACACTGATTTATCTATTAAATCTTGGATTGGGTAAGAGAAAGATTTTTAGGTATTGTGCATATACACTGTAAACAAAAAATTATGGGGAAAAATCACAGAATGTGTATTTCTGACTTGAGGTCTTTACTTTGCTTATAACAAAATTGCCCGATTTATCTAACAATTTTCACTTGATTTGTCTTTAGGCACCTTAACTCTTGAGGAAGATAAAAGTGCAAGAGTGTGGGTTACAGTTTTCCCTTCAGTGTAGTTCCTGTGAGGAATCCAGTCCACTTCCACCATCCAGTGGTGTGACCCAGTTAGGGAAATCATATGACATTAACCGCCGAGTCTTTTAGTAGGCTAAAAATCATGGAGAGGCTTTGTATCCCTGGTGGTGTTTGTACAAGAGTGGCAACACATGCAAAAGACAGTAAAAGATAGGCTAAGTCCGATTTGCAGGTTATGCAGAAGGAAAAGAGACGGCGTCAAGGGGAGCGACTTCTGAGGACTCGTCGAGAGGAAGCCCTTCGAGAAGCTGAAGGAGTTACTTATGAACCAGGATGTTTTTAAATTACTTTTAGATACTCCTGTGGACAAAATATGGACACTTGGGCCACTATAGTGGTTACATATTGTAAAAAATTAAGTTTGATTGCTATCTGTAAGTTTAAAGGCCATTTTCTCATTACGCAATAATTTTGTCTTCCAGAAAGGATATCTTGACAACAATTTATCCAATTGATCTGAAATTTTCAGCATTTGTTCCTTTTGATAAGTTTTGTGTTATAAGCAGAGCAATTTTCCATATGATGTATGTACTTAAAGTTATGAAGTGAAACACCCCTCTGATTTTCCATGTCAAATTTAATTGATCATCATTTAAAATGTTTTCAACATATTAGAAATCCCTCTGCTTATAACAATAAGCAACATGTCTTCTTTGAATTGATACTAAAAACGTTATTTTTCATTAATTCCAGAAGGAGTTATCTTTTCTGAAGTAACCCCTGGTAGAACCCAGCAGGTGGCTCAATTAAATGAGTGGTATCCTATTACAATTGACATGTTGAGTCTGAAATATTTTTTTTCATGATCTTCAAGTCATAAGCTTTCCAGGGATATATAGTTTGCCTAAGTTTTGAATTAAGTCCTAGCTGTGAAAAATGAGTGAAAAATGGGCATTTTTTCAGGTTTACCCCCGCCTTAAGGGACGATTAGACACAGGCTAAAAAAAAATACGTCAGCGACTTTAAGAAATATATACCTTCATGAATTCTTGTTTCTGTTTCATTAAGATGTAAGTGATGTGTCAACCAGCGTGTGTCAATTTCTCATTTCTGGGAATTAGGAACTCGAGACGAACGAATTAGAATGTTTTTCTTTACTGTGATTGGTTTACAACCAATATGTCATCATAACAAGCTTTTGATTCCAGAAATAGCTAAAAGAGAAGGTCACAAGACTTGATTGTTTTAAGTTGATTTCTTAGAAATCGTCTAGCTTTGCTCGCTCGCTTTTGCCGAACGGATAACATGGACATTAAAACGTTGTTCCGTAATCTTCGAGGAGAAGTATCTTGTCTAGTGTGTACTGACATATACACGGATCCAAAACAACTCCCATGTCTCCACAGCTTTTGTCTGCATTGCTTGAATCAGTGGCACAGAGAAAGCCGTGGCCGAGACACAATCAGGTGCCCGAAGTGCCAAGCTCTCAGCAGAGTGCCTGAAAGTGGCGATTTCAAAGACCTTCCCACCAGTTTTTATCTGAACGGCTTGGTTGATGTGCTGGCAATAAGAGAATGCAAAACCAGCCAAGTGAAATGTGGAAATTGCGACAAGAGCAGCTCGGAAAGTTCCTATTGTTTCCAGTGCTGTATGTTTTACTGTCAAGAGTGCGTAATCGGACACAACATCATGAAAATTTACAAAGATCATCGCGTCCTGGCGCTCAAAGACTTTCAAGTCAAGGACTATGAAGATGTAATGAAACGACCTGTCTTTTGTTCTAAGGAAGATCACAACAAAGAAGAGCTGAAGTACTTTTGCAAGACTTGCGAAATACCAGTTTGCCAAATTTGTGTCACATTGGACCACGGAGGCCATAATATGAAATTAATCAAGGAAGAGGCAGAAATACAGAAGAGTGAGATGAGGTCGTTGCTTGAAAAGCAGAGACGTAATTTGCAAGCTAAGATGAAAACTGTCAATCAACTTGATGAAGAGTTCGCCAAACTGATGCAACAAGCCGAAGACGTGAAGAGAGATATTCAAAGACTTGTTGACAATCTCGTCGCCGTTATTGAGGCGAAAAAGCAAAATATACTATCATCGTTGGAGAAAGAAACGAGCAGATCGCTTGATCTTGTAACGGAGCGAAAAACCGAAATTCAACGGCAAATTACGGCCATAGAATCTTCGCTGGAAAATGCTGATAAGCTTTTAACTCGTAGCAGTAATGCTGAAATCGTTCAACTCAAGAAATCATTAGACGCCATTTTTGAAGGAGTTTCTCAAACCGAGCCAATTAACCGTAACACCGAAAGCCTTCCGGCTGGTTTCATTTTCAAGCAAAATCCAAAACTGTTGGAGACTGTGAAAACTGATGACATTGGAACTTTGCAAATCTTGCAACTCACTAAGGCAAATCATGTAATTTGCGAAGGCAAAGGAATTGAAGAAGGAATGGTAAACCGTGAGGCACAATTCACTTTGACCTCAAGGAACATTCGTGGAAAACAGTGTTACAATGAACGTGACCATGTCACGGTGGAGATCAGAGATAAACGAGGACGGGAATGCGCGACGAAGGTTGGAATAAATGACTGTGGAGATGGACTCTACCAGATCAAGTATACTCCAAAAGATCAAGGAATGTGTAAAGTGAGTGTAAAAATAAATGGGGAACATATTAATAGAAGTCCTTTTACCGTATTCGTAAAACCATTTCAATTCAAACCTGTTTTATCTTTCGGTAAGAAAGGTTCGTCTTTAGCATTGTTTAACATTCCTATTGGACTAGCAGTAAATGCTAGGAATGAGATAGCTGTAGCTGATAATCTCAACCACAGAATTCAAATCTTTGACAGTGACGGAAATTACATAAGATCCTTTGGCAAAGCGGGAGAGCTTCAAAGTCCTAGAGGAATAGCATTTGATAACAATGGGAATATTTTCGTCGCGGATAGATCGAGTCGGATTCAGATTTTCGATGGGAGGGGTGAGTACGTACGAAGCTTTGGAGGGTTTGGTAGTCTTGATAACCAACTTAAGAATCCTTGGAGTTTATCTGTAGACAGTGACGGGAATGTGATCGTTGCTGATAAAGGAAACAGCTTAATTAAAATCTTTTCTCACGATGGAAAGTTCCTTATGAAAATAGGTGGACAGAGCTCTTTGAAATCTCCTATGCATTGTATTCAGTATGATAGGTATCTCGTAGTGTCAGACAGGGGTGAACATTGTATCAAAGTTTTTGACAGGAATGGAAACTTTCAGTACAAGTTCGGAAAGATAGGTAGTGGGGACGGGGAGTTTGATGGTCCTTCTTGTATGGCAGTGAACAAATCAGGGCACCTGATGGTCTGTGATGAACTTAATCACAGAGTACAAGTATTTGAACTGAATGGTAAGTTTATTGGCGAGTATGGAATGAAAGGCAGCAATTTAGGAGAGTTTGAAAATCCTGTGTCCCTTGCAGTTTTAGGTAACGGCCGAATTGCTGTAAGTGAATTCAAGAACAATCGTATTCAGTTATTTGAATGAAAGAAACATCAATATCAGGTCAGGAGCAATAAACATATGGTGACAGAAAACTGTTTGCATGCCGGTTTAAATCGTCGGTCAGAAGTCAGACATGCGCAAGTGGATTGATTTTTGCCAGCTGCGCGCTAATTCCCCGTCAGAATAAGACAATGAAAACAGAAAAAATATTCGATTTCATGTTAAATGCAAAAAAAAGAAGTTTGACACGTTTGAAACTTGAGTGAGGAAAAGTAGACTTAGGAAATCTGCTAAAGGAAACAGAAAGGAAAAACTTGGGTTTTTTTTTTCTTACTCAAAGATTACTCAATTATTAGTATTTTGTCAATGTACCGAAATTTTACACGGCTTTAAAACACGGTGCCTTTTTTGCATGTACAAAAGAAACAGAAGAATCGTATCACGCTGTGTTCCTAACTTAACTGACTCTACTATTATAACTGGACTCAATTCTGCTGATTTACCAAAACCCTCTCCGCTCTCTGCTGCCACAGTGGTCAGCAAGCGAACTTATTCGGTATTTTGGCGCGAGCCCTTTCAATTTTTACACGGTCTTCGTTTCGCAAATAGGATACCAATAGATGTAGATTAAGACAAACGGTCAATCTGAAAAATCAAGTCGCCTGAAAGCGAGATGTTGGGCCGCAATTTTATCCGCTTCTTTGCCGTTTCAACGTTCACAAACACATAGACGCGAGTTGGCCGGTTTACATAGCGGACTTCCTCTTATCCTATAGCTTAGCCCTCCCAATCCTCTTCATAACGCAGGCGGCCAACGTGGGCGTCGTGCCTTTTACCCCACTGATTCCCTCGCTGCACGCTTTATGAAGAAGACTGGGCACAAGTTAAATTATCTATAGTTAACTGGCGAAGCAGAAATGTCATTTATGTTTAGATATCAACTATGACGTTAATTCTGTCAGAGATGACACTTGATAAATTTCATGCTCACTGACCACGGGTGTGGGGCGGGGGGGGATAATAAGAGGGTCCAAGCTTTGATTTGAATTAAACAAATTTTTTTTTAGCACTTGAGCCTAATTAAGCTAAGAAGTATTTCAAGATTAATATTTTTCAGACATTCAAGCCGAATAGTTCTATGCGATCCTGTTGTTGGAATAATTTTGGCTTCAGACTAGAAGTGAAAATACCCATAGGTCTAATGAAGTAGGGGGGTAGGGGTCCAGACCCCCTGGGCCCTCCCCCCGTGTTCGCCACTGCTTTCTTATGATCTGGGTAAGAGAAACAAAGTTTCAAAAGTTGGCTTGTGATGTTGAATTACAGTCTCTTGGGGGTTGCGTCGAATTTATTCCAAAAATATTTTGCATCTCATTAAACGAAGAGCATCAGAGAGCTAGCCTTGCTGCAAATAAGGAAACCTTAAGTTTTACGTTCAGTACTTATAATTTTCCGAGATTATTTTTTAAATTTTTGTAGCAAAACTGGTGGTCAATAATAGTTATTTAGGACCACACGTATTAACATTCTGTATGTAAGCAAGAGAAAAAAAACAGTCATTATTTTCTCTTGATGTAAACCATTACAATTTGATAAGTTGATACTTCAGAAGGAAGCTACTGATATCACGCGACACAGAACTTACGCATAAGTGTTATCTTTGTTTGACGCTAATGGGCTGTTGTGAAAATCTTGGAAATTAATTTGATATATGTTTGTTATAGGTGCTTCAGCACAAACTTGTAATCAAGCTCATCTGTACATAATAAGACTAGTATAATAACTATATATGGTATCTTGTGCAGTACTTAGTTCACTGTACATGAAAGTAACCATAGACTGGTGCATTCTAGTGGATATAAGACCAATTTTCAATTCAGTGTCAAAAGTAACACAAAATTGTGTTGGTTTTGCTTTTCTTTGCAGTTTGATTTGTCCAGGAAACTCGTGCCACTCAACCAATCAGGTACTAAACTAAAACCAATCACGACTTGGTGGCCTCTTCGTGCCTCAGGCAGTTTGGTTGTTTTTACTTTGAGTTCTCGTTAGCTCTCAAAGGTATTTTCCTTCCTTCTGATTGGACGTTTTAATTGCTTTGGTTTTGGTTTCACGACACTCAATTGAAAAGTGCTTAGGTAGTTGAGTTGGGAGACTCACTTCTGATATTGACGTCATACTTTCAAAGTATTAATACTATTATATTGTACTTTCATACTATTAATTTTGATGAAAATACCATTGAGACTGTTTGAGGTTATTGTAGCTTTTTTAGAAGTAAGACTCTGACAATTTTTCCATAACCAGTAAGTACCGGTCCCACCCCACCCTCACTGCACAATGAGGTCATCGAGCGCAGAGCGACCTTAATTCACAATATGCAGGTGAACCAGAAATATTTCAGTGAGGTATTGCTTTAACCTGGAAAAAAAAGGGAGACATTTATTACTTCACATTTAAGTGTCGATTGTTCTTAATTAAAAAAGAAAGACCTGTGGAACAGATTACGATTGCAATGGACAACAGCAATGGTGATGAGAGCAGCTTTTTACAGCTTACTAGTTCGATCATTGCCTGTATGACCTTCTTGTGTGGAGGGGGGAGGGGTAAGGATTAGTCTAAAGTTTGTAGACCAACAGTGCTCTGAATGCTTTGTTCTCAAACATTGGTGGTAGTCTGCTCCTTGAAATGTTGGTGGCCTGTGGCACTTAGACTCTTCCAGAGCACAGCCTTGATTGTACAGCTCTGTTATGAAGTGTATATTTCCACACTTCTTCTTTTAATTATAGTATCTTTCAGCTTTTGAATAAAGCAGTTAAAATGATAAAATGTTCAACGATATTGCTTGATGTTAACCTAGATCGATCAGCGCGGAAAAGTCCTACCGTTTGGTTTTTCCTTCTCTCTCTCTCCCAGTCTTTTCTCCTCAAGCCCTAAACTGATTGCAGATTTTTCCTAAAAGACATGCGCGAGGAATGGGAAGGGCTGTCTTTGAAAATGACAGTTGTAGTCTTAAGGTTTAAATTTATTTAAACAATTAAAAAAAACCCCAAGGTTTACTGATCTAAAATCATCGTGTATAGTGAGTCTGTTTTGAGGCTATTGTGCTTTCGGTGGATTAAGTGTTTCTCTCTAGCGACTCCAAAGGAGTATATGGGATGTACCCTCTAAACCGGAACAGCTGCGTTCATATTTAGCGACCCTCTGTGTTCATCTCTTTCGGGTGCATTATTTGCATCGATAACTTTATGCTGTTTTTTAAGTTCGGTGGATCAAACCGTAGCGAATGTTAAGTTTGTAAATTTGAGATGTAAGGTTCAGGTTTTTTAATATATATATTTGTTAAGGACACTAGCCAGAAGGCTCATTTTTATTTAGTTGATTATTGATTAGTTTAATAATTTCTATTATCCTAGGTACGAAGATACTTACAATGTTTATCTGTTTGTTTATATTTTTATTGTTTTTGTAATCGGACATCAGCGTCACCACGCGCATATAAAAGTGAGTTTAGCGTCCCTATAATCAGTTCTTCGCAAGTTTTTTACCAGTTTTAGTGAACTTTCGTCTTTTCGTTGTAAACCTTTGGCACAAGTAGGACCGATATCCAGATCGATCGTTCGTTCGATTGATTGATTGATTGCAAGATTTAAAATTCGTATAAACCGTCAACTTTGGTCTATTTCAATATCGATTTTTAAAATAGCCCTCAAACACCTCGTTAAGCGCGTCTTGGAGTGACACCGCTTGAAATCCTATGAATTAAATTTTTGGTCGCCGCAAGCGCTACGATATTTTTTATCGTGAAAAAGGGTGTGGCTTGTCATTGTGGTAAATAACACTTTCACAAGAGAAATATAATCATTTGTCTAACGTAAATGGCGTAAATGAATATCAGTGACACTTCTTTTTTGTTCTTAATACATCTGTGAGTCGCATACTCATGAAATCAATATGTTAAGTTTTCTAATATTTCCATCGTTAAGTTTCAAAATTGTTCTGTAATATTTTGATCTTGAATGTTAACACGGCGGAAAAGAAACAACTTTCCAAGACCAGTTTCCTTCGCAGCGTTAGCTGTCCCTGAGTATGTCAAGCAACACTCCTCCCCCACCCAACCCGCTTTACACCCTAACATCGGTGTGGAAATTCTCCATACTCTTCTTTACACATTTCCTATGGTAGAGACAAGAAGAATTCTTTCAACAATCAGAGCGTCGTAGGTTGAATATCATTTCCTTTTTTCTCATGATCTTAATAAATGATTCAACAGTATTATTGTAAGGAGAAATTAGATGCTGGTCACTCTTTAGAATTACTCTGGGTACAATAGAAAGTTAGAAGTGGGTTTTACAGTTAGCTAAATGAACATTTTAAAATGTCAATCTCTCATCTTGACAGTTTGTACTGTTGTATATTAACTATCAAAGGCAGAGAATTCTTTCCTTTACTTTTCACAAGAGTCTTGTTTCCTGTTCGAGTATAAAAACCCTGATGTGACAATTTGCGGATTGTAAAATGATGATTGGAAACCATTTTTGGCAAATACGTTCTTGAAGCGAATGAACAGTTTACGAGCATGTAGCATTGGCGCGATGGCTTTAAACATGGTCACATGACCATGGCGTGTTGAGAATCCGTTGCGTTACCTAGCAATCTCTTCGACGAACGTCTTAAGCTAAAGTTCAGCCCGTGACAATGATTTGTCACCTGAAAGTTCATTCCGCTTATGCAGAGTGGGTGTCCTGTGCCACTGTGCTTGAGTTACGGTGTACCTTGTGTTGGAGTTCACTACAGTGACACCAGCGTCATCCTTGGTCCGAAAATACGCCTCTTATGCCATCTTGTTAAAAGTGTAGGCGTTGTTTCTAGTGTCGCTTCAAGGAATTTATCGTAGGGTTCATTATTGGTCATTTTCCCGAAGAGAAGCAAGTATGATTGCTTCTTCTGAAAAAAAAGAACCCTGTATACTCCTCATTTATTTCCAAAAAGTCCCAAATGACGCGGCCTCTCATACTTATCTTTCGGTGCCTGTCTTTGCTAATTGC